GCAATCAAGTAAGCATTGCTGCTGCTGCTTCTGGTCTTTCTGAAGCCCCCACTGATACCAGTGCATGCAAACTGATGCCTTTGTGGCCCTTTACAACTCTAGATATGCTATACTTCTACCTTGCTCTTTCCTTTCTATTAACTCCTCCTTTCCTACATCTGTGGTTTGCACACCCCAGAGAACTGAGCTTGGGTGTGTCAAAGGGTAAGGACAGGAGGGGAATATAAAAATGGTGTAGTGGTGTTTTACGTTGGCTTTATGAATATTTTTCAAATAAGCTGAAATTATGTGAAGCTAACAATCATGCTTAGATACTATAGAAAGTATGTGTTGGTGTATTGTGGACAAATTATTTATACTCTTATAAAAATTAATATAATTAATAGCCAGATGATTGCTCTGGACTGGCTCCACTCATGAAAGCAGGGAGCTGTGGTATATGGCTTTGCTTTGGTTTTTAAAGAGATGCTGTTGAAATTGTGTGCTGTCACATATAACTTGCCAGTTCATTCCAGGTGTGCTGTCACCTGCAAGTACACTTGGAGCCTCTTTGAGCCACAGCAGATGCTCTCATATGAAAGGGTCAGTACTCAGTCCTGAAGTGTACCTTGAGTCATCCCCTGTAAAGCCTCGTTTGGTACCAGAGCTATCAAATACACAGGTAGGAAAGAGGTCCTCTGAATGTTTTTGTGATGCCAGCGAGTTTTTGTAGGATTTTATCTAAAGGATAAAAAAATCTACAGGATTTTTGTAGACATGGGATGTGCATATACCCCCCCCACCTTTGTGGCACCGGCTAGGAGGGAAGGCAAAATTGATGCCAAACATCTCTCTGTACTCTCGAAGGTATTAGTGCAGGACCTGGCAGCTGGAGCATTTTCAGTTATAATTCAGCCCTCCTTCTTCATCCAAAGCAGGGCAACGTGTAGGAGAAAAGAATTCTTAGTATTGGTAGCTAAAGTTTCTAGCCAAGTCACGTATCAAAATCCTAATGTGTCTGACACCTGTGCCCTTTTTTAGCATTTTTCTTCCCTCTCCCTGTGCGTGTTTTTTATTCATTGTATTGCTCTTTACTCCTGATTCTGTCAGCGTGGCCGGAGGCACAGGTTATGGCACTGGCTGATGTGACGCAGCAGACCAGACAAGTGACTGCATGTCAGCTCACATGCTGCTTATCTTGCAGCCAGCAGTGAGGCAGTAGTGAGCTCCTTCTGCAATCTGGGCAGCAGCACCCATGCTGCCTGGAGAAAATGGTGCAGATAGACATGGATAACTCATAGCTAAATTATGATAGGACCTTAAATCCAGAGGAAGCATTTCAGCCCATGACTGATACATGATTCCCTGTCTGCCTGCAGGCAGGTGAAGCTGGGCACATACAGCAAGCTGCCTAACTGTGACTGCATGTTACCTTCTTACTTCAGGTACTGAACTATCTGATAGTAGGAGTGGGTCCATCTACAGCCCTGTAATCTGACGTGACCCATGCTCTCCCTTGTCTCTATTTCAGGGTGATGCAGCATCTCTGGTTAAAATGTGAATTAAAAAGGCACACACGTATGGTGTTGTCTTTGGATAAGTGGCAGGTGTTGGGGCAGAGGAGGGGAGGCTCTGCTGGCAGGAGGTGTTTCTTCAGGACAGTGTACGGTCCCGTCCCATGTAATACTCTTCTTTAACGTTCTATTTATTTATTTTTAAAGTATCTGTGTAGCAGAGTTGTGCCCAACTGTCTAGTAATGCTGTGATCATTGTAAACACTAATTAAGATACCCAATTTTTGATGTTCACAATACCAAGTTCTGAAATAAACGGCTTCCGGGCCCTGACTATTTCCACAAACTGTCTGACTCCAGAGCCTTTTTTTTTTTTCCCCCTTTTTCCTTTTTGTGGTTCCTTGTTCAGTTACCAGACCCACTGTTACCACAGATGTCGTGGAGCAATGCAGTAGTCTGAGAGCAAAGGCACAGCTGCACTGCTCCAATCCAGGGCTGTGATGTGGCTGCTTCTTGCCTTATGATCTTCTCGATCTCCTCACCTTTTTTCATCTGCTTCTGAAAGAAGTTTTAGTTCAGCTGACCCTTCTCAGGTATGAAGTGCATTCCCGTGACAGCACCCCTGCTTTTCAGCAGCATCTAGCCCTCTTGATATGGCAGTGGCAAACACTAAAGAGAAGAGCACATGTTGCAGCAGTTTACTTTGTTCAGAGCGAAGCAATATTTCAGCCATTCTTTGGTCAGCATTCAATCCTAAGGCATTAATATGCTGTCCTTAAAATTTTTCAGCTCTTCACTAACCAGAAAACATTCCTTTTCTGGATGGTGCAAAACAAATGATTTATCAGCTGCCCAGAGAATCTGACTACGCTAGCTTGGTAAGGTTGAGAAGTAGTGGGGCTGTTGAGTAGCAGAGCCCATGGAAGTCCGATCCAAAAAAGTTACCATGCCAGTAAAGAGATTGTGGTTATGAGTGATGAACGATTGTAATATCTTCCAGCCCATCAAGTGAAAAACTGCCAAAAACCAATAAGCCAGATAAGCTGTTTTCCATCACAGCGAGGAGCTGTGTAAAGTTGGATCCTTTAGCCCAAAGATACAAAAGGTGCAAAGCTAGGAAAAAAGAGCTATGTTGTTCACCGGCAATGCTCTGATTTGGCCCTTCACACATACGGCACAGTGAGTGGTAGGTATCACTCTTTTTGATATGATTCATATCATAGTCCTGAGCTTCACTTTTAACTTCCTTTCCATTCATTTTCTCTTACAAAGCTGAGATGGACATGTACATCTGCTATTTACATCTGTATGTGTGGTGGGGCAAATGTTTATGTATGTGCACTAAAGGACTCTGCACGTTTGCGAAGCATGACACCCTTCCCAGGTCCTCTGGAACCTGAAGAGGTTGGGCAGTTTCTGCTGAAAGACTGACGAGTTCCTTGCTGCTGTTAAAGGCATGTCCTGCTTGCAAGCACCAGGAAGCTGGTTGGCTCAGATGTTGTTCAGCCTGGTTAAGCTGGTCGGGATTGTTGATGTCTGCCTCGTACTAGCAGATAAGTAGTTTTATAAGATATTTTAAATTGTAATTGTACCTCTAGATTGCTTCTTCTGGACATGCTAGCACTGCATAATACTGCTGCATCACCTCTTTAATCTCCAAGAGAGGATGGCATATGCATAAATCACCTCACAGCACAAGATTCAGTTATGTATATTCCTTCATGCTCTGATTCACTACTGGCTTTCCTCTGACAGAAGAAAAGCTATGTTTCTTTTCTTATTTGTCTCTGTTTTGATCAGAAGTGAGATTAAACCTCCAAATATTGCAGCTTGATTGTATACTGCCAAGTCCGATATCTCCGTTTTAAAATATATACACTTATCCTTCATTACTACTTAATCGTTACTTATTTGACAAGTGTATTACCTGTTTCTAACTAAAAAAAAATCTTACAGGAGATCCTTGAGAGATCTTGTTCATATTCTAGACTTTCTTTCATGTATTTTAATCAGTTGTTAAAGATAATACAAAATTCCTATACTTTCAACATTGGTACCTTCTTAGAATGCTCATTTTGATGCTATGAGGACACAGGTGAGACTCCAAAGCTGACTCCTCATTTCTCATCTAATGTAGTCAACTAATCTGTACACGTAGACTACAGTCAGTACATGATTACAAGGAGGAATAGTAACAAGGTAAAAATAGGAGTAAATTTTTGATAGATTGTTCATCTTAAGTTGATTTTTAAATTTTAAACCACTGCAAAGGTAAGTGATGAAATGGAGGTATGAGAAATTAATTGCATAGTATATTTGCATACGGTAACTGAGTGTGAAATGCTGTGGCAGTTCTAGCTGCGAAGACTATTTAAAATACAAAGTCCTCTCATACAGTTATTCTGCCAGTGGAATAGAAGGCAGTTTATGTCTGTAGTACTTAAAAATCCAGCTAACTGGTCTAGGTACCCTTAATATGTTTGGTCTGTTATCTCTTGTGTTCTCAAGTTGGACACGCTGTTTTACAGCTCCACTCTTTCACTTGGAAAGAACCCATTGAAAACAACTTGCAGACTAGAAATACAGTTGCCATTATTATTGCCAATTTAAATTTTTTCCAGACACTGTAACAGAGATTGTTTTTTATGCACTAGAAGCAAGACACTTCCTGGACTCTGTGTACATGAGCACAGTTCCCTCTGAATGGCTATGCTATTTGTGGCTTATTATGATATGCAGAGAAAGGAAAATTTAATGGTTTAGACCTTTAGGATTGGAAAACCCAGGCTTGTGTCTCTGTTCTATCATAGGGCTTTTGTGTGACCCTCGACAAGTCACTTAGCTTCTTTTTGCTTCTTTTTCCCATCTGTGACATGAGGGTAGTGAGTCTTCATTACCTCACAGAAGTATAACAAAGGCAAATGTATTAAAGTAGTTCGGATGTTAGTTTTAAAACAGAGCTCTTATGCATGAATCTTTATCTAGGTACCCGTAAAAATACTTTTCTCTATACTGGCATCAGAGGTAAGTTGTTGATAAAAGACAAAAAGACTAGTAGATAATGCTTCCCACAGTCATGACATTTCTAAGCATGTTGTTTGCATGTGCACACATAAGATGTACTCTATTGTTGGTCCTTTGTGTATCTTGATTTTGTAAAGCGTTCTGGTGGTCTCTGGGTAATTTTCTCATCTCGGGAGAGAACGAAGGTACTATGCCTATTTGCACCTGAGTTTCTAAACTGTTGCACCATTTTTTCTACTCCGTATTGTGGGACAGGTTGGTGCACAATAATTTAAGTAAGGTTGAACAGTTCTTCCTTCCCCAGTTTCAAAGGTGTAGGACCATTCCCATAAAATCTTAAGCATTCTGCATCTTGCACTCCTGCACTGAAAAATTAATACAAACCTGATAACAAAGCAAGTGTTCATGCAAGAAGTACAACTGAGAGAGGGAGTTATGGGAAAGTACTCATTGTTAAATGTCTGTCGTGCGTGTCATTTGCAGGTACCTTTCTGGGGATTCGATTACGGTATTTCCCAGCGGCACTGGGACTGGCTTCCCTTCCACTGCTACGTCTCTCTTTGTCCCAACACCACCCAGTATTCTCCAGCTGACAAACCAACAGCTCTTCAGATCCCCACGCAGACCTTCTTCTTCCTCTCTTCCTGGTCGTCTCAACAGGGCACTCTCGCTGGGTACCATCCCCTCCTTGGCTAGAGCAGGTAAGCGTGTGTGAAACTTTCTGGCCCAATAGAAATGACGATAGAGTGGTACAGTGCTTCAGAAGGAAATGGGCTGTCCACATGTTATGGTCCTGTTTAGGGATGGCTGCTCCTGTGGCACAGAGGAGTATCCGGCATTGGTAACTTGGGTTTTGGCATTAAGAAATTATGCGGTGTACCATTGCCATCTTGGTGAAACAAAAAGTGTCACCGAGTGCTTGCCTGCTGTGGCTTTACTGAAATCCAGAGGCTTCTCCAGGCCTTCATGGCAGTATGGCACAAGCTACAAGGCTGTGTGTGGGAGAGAGACAGAAGGAGCAGTTAGACATGGGAATGGAGAAGAGCAGCTCTTGGAAGTGTTTGGGAACATTAGGATAACTGATCTGGCATGAGTGATCACTCCCTTCCTTCTAGCTACTTTGTGTGGTTTGCTTTTCTTGCTACAGCTGAAGGGAGCAGAGTTGGAGGCAGGCTCTTCCCTAAGCCTGGATTTAGTATTCGCATTAGCACAACTATTGAAGCTGCTTTAGAGACCCTGTTTCGTCTTGTTTTTAAGGGCTCTGTGCGATCCAGGGAAGATTTATAGGCCTAAGGAAAAACTCTCTCCCAGTAACTCAGTAAGCCCTTGGTTTTGCTGTGCTTGAAACGAACAGATGGGAAATAGCATTCAAATGCTCTTCTCCATCCAAGGAAAGCTAAGCTTTCCCGTGTCACTAACTGATTACCAGCAGGTCAGAGGCCAAAATGGGGCAGCTTCTAGAATAACTGCAGCAGAGAGAGCAGTCTTGCAGGGATTTTTTTTAGGTCATTCAACATTTCTTTAGTTCATGCTGACAGCAGTTGTGCCAGATCCACTAAGAGCAAGACCAGCCGTGCAAACCTTTCCGCAGTGTGGCAGCTTTTGGCACAGCCTTCACCTTCCTAGTTACCAAACTGCCACTGGAAGGGCAGGTAAATGCACCAGATGGCTGGGATTCCCCCTGCATGTAAACCACCCTTGTGAGGTCTATGCTTGCTTTTGCTAAGGTGCAAAGCCAGGCAGACTGAAGAGAGCATCCTGTTGGGGCTCAGTATTTTTTGCGAACAGCAAGGTTTTAAACTTCCAAAGCTGTTTGCCTATAATTATGTAAATCAAGTGTCTAAGAAAAATAATTTATTTAAGCTCTGAGCTTTCATTTATAGCACTTCTTTTTCCTGACTTCAGTACTTTTCATTTATTATTTTGGTTTGGTTTGGTTTTTTGCTGCCTCATTATTATGGCTACTGTGCCTGACAGCTAGATGGGAATTCATCTCACTCTATGATCTACCCTTAAGGCTCTTTTAATGTGAAAAGGATACAACCATCTCTTCACCTTCTTTCTTCTAAAGTAGAGGCAAGCCAGGCTGCAATACAGTCACAGGGTTGTTTTTGGAGCCTGCTGGACAGATCTGTTCTGCTGCAGCTGGGAAAAGTAGATTATTATGATGCTGGCGTATAGTCTACCCAGAAAAACAAGGACATTTTTCCTGCCTATATTTACCACCTGTCCTCTTCTGAGATTGATGACAAGATGATGCAGTTACATTTCTGAAGGACAGACCTCCGGCAGCCAAGCCAGCTGGGTCCAAACTGTTTCATTTTTGCTTTTTAGATTCTGGCTATTTGTTCAGTGGAAGTCGACCAGCCTCACAGTCCTCTCAGTCCAAGGAATCTCCTACATCAGGTAATGCACTAGGCCTTCCAGAGCAACTGTCTTTGCAGGATTTGCAGTGAGTGAGTTGAAGCACACGATCCAAGTTTCCTTCTTTCCTCCCTACTCACATCCCAGTGAAAATGTTAGTTTTGCTGTTAGAAATGCTGCGCAGAGAGTTCCGACTAAGAGTGGGATTGCATTAAAATAAGGTGCTGGACGTGTTGCATGTTCTCCCTGGGTGAGCTCACAGTGAAATCAGTGAGGCGAAGCAAGGATCCCTTCCCTGCTCTACAGCTGCATTGAGATTGCTTTGATTGGAGACTTTCAACTGTTCCTAGGGCAGGTCTTTTTCCCCACTTTCTTTTCCCAGTGCAAGGAGCTGCTAATTTGGCTACTCTGTCTGCCCTTTTGCTCCCATGTCCTCCAGTGACCTGTCTGTTGCCCTCCTGACCCCAAATGGACCCTTTGGCTGTTTGTGCTACTTCAGCGTTAGCCGAACAAAGAATTTTAGTACAAGATAATGTTGGGCATTTGTGAGTCCTGTTCCCTTTTCTAGTAGAATCATTAATGAAAACTATGCCTATTGTATTGGGATTATAATCTCATTATTTTCTCTTTGGGGATGTTTCCATTGCAGAGCACTTCTCGCTGCTGTCCGGCAGCTGTGCTCCGTCCCGCATCCCCTCTCCAGCACCATCGGTGGCTGGCTCTGTGACTTCCAGCTCAGGTTCCTTGCGGTACCGCCGGCCACTCATCAGCCCTGCGCGCCTGAACCTGAAAGGACAGAAGCTGCTGCTTTTCCCATCTCAGAATGAGGCTCTGCTGACCCCAACTAGCTCAGAGGAGCACACCCACTCAGACAGCAACATCTTTGCCACCGAGCTGTCCTCCTTTCCAAAGAAGAACCTCAGTGAGCGGGGAATGCATGGTATGCTGGCAGCCTGCTGCACTCCTGGAAATGCATTTGTAGGAAGGAGTTGGCTTGCAAGCAAAGCCATGCGTCATCTAGGCCACACAATAGATGGGGAACCTTCAGGAAAAACCCAGGTGGTGATGACTGTTAGTCTACCAAAGCTCCCTTAAGAATCCACTGGCCTGGAGAACCTTTTGTCTGCCAGAACAGATGTCCTTTTCTCAGCGGTGCCCCAGGGATCCTACTGCCACTGCCTTCACCCTTGTTTGGATAACTCCTTTAACCATGGATGTGGTGATGCTGGTATGGACAGTGTATGAGACAAACATAGCGATATGGACGAGAGGAAACGGCCTTAAGTTGCGCCAGGGGAGGTTTAGAATCGATTTTAGGAAAAATCTGTTTACGGAGAGAGTGGTCAAGCATTGGAGGGAGGTGGTGGATTCACCATCACTGGAAGTGTTCAAAAAACTTGTGGACCTGGCACTTCAGGACATGGTTTAGCGGGCATGGTGGTGTTGGGTTGATGGTTGGACTTGATGATCTTAAAGGTCTTTTCCAACCTTAATGATTCTGTGATTCTGTGAAACATGCAGGTGACTTCTGCTGCACAGCAGTGAAATCTGCCTTTTGTTTCCAGTTCCTGACCTCAAGCCTTTCATGATTTTAGCAGCCAACCATTCATTACTCATGTCTAGCTTTAGTCTAGTATTTTCTGCTACTTTTGACTTCCACTGGTGCCTTCTGAATTTTAATATCTTCTTCTCCTTGCAGATATGAGATCTGCTATGGAAGGAGGGAGTATTTGCAGTGATAATTCCATCAAGAAGGAGGATCACTCCTCACACTCATCTACCTGTGTGGTAGACACAACTACGAAAGGGGAAGATTTGGCAGGCTGGAGAGGTAGGCGCAAGTCATGCAAGTGCTTCATGTATGTGTGAGCATTTCTGTGAGGGTAACTGAGATCTTTCCTGTGCTGTAGTAGTGATCGGATCTTGAGGTCAAAAAACTAGTAGCAAAATGGATCTTCTGCCTACTATTCTAAGACCTTAATAAGGCTATTCCTGTTCTTTGGACTGTCTGAAGAATACTGACAGGGTGCTAAACTGAGACAGAAGGAACGGGGTGGGGATGTGGGTGTTGAGAAGAGCGATGAGATGAAAATAGAACCAAAGAGAGCAGGGGAATCTTTCCTGACAGGAAAAGTGCTTCAGCAATTTCTGCTTACGGTGAAAACGCTGAGCAAAGAGAGAGAAAAACCACAACGTATGTTCACTGTTATTTATCTCATCAATTCTTTAATACCTCTTTCTACTATTCCTTTTTTTTCTTTGTGTTGTCCTCTTCTACTAAGGTCATTTCAGTAACTCCGCTCTCCGAGGTCTGCTAGCTGTGAGTCTGACTCTCAATGCTATCTTCACATCAGCCTATGTCTACCGGAGCCTGCGTTGATTTGTGCCAGCACTCCCTTTCTTTCTGGTTCCACCTGCTTCTGAGGAGACAAGAAGATTTCAACCATGGCTTCATGTCTAATCGCCATGCCACTGGTGCATGCTGTTTTTTTTAAAAACTACTGTATGCTCAACTGTCATGACAAGGAACCCAGGTAGCTGCTGCCATCACTTCCAGCTAAAACATATCACAGGATTGTCCTTGGAGGTGGCAGGCAGAATTTCCAGAAAGCTCCAGTTCAAAGCAAGAGGCCAGTCAAATGGTCCATGCACTTTTTCTTTCAAAGGAACTGACCTGACACACAAGCCTGGAAATGTGTAAGCTATGTTTTTAGGAACTTATCCCCAGCTCCTCTTTCTGACATATTAACCTCATGCTCTTGGTGCTGGTAAAATGAGGAGAATTAGAAACCGAGCTGGAGAAGAGGGATGGCTTAGTAGCTAGTGCTGGTTTTTGGCTCTGTAACAGCATTCCCAGCCTCTTTGCCCGGTGGTTCCTCTTCTCTCTTCCCTTTGGCACGCTCCTCTAAATTATCAGTGAACTTTCTTTAGTTGCCTTAAGCATGCCTAAGCACATGGGTGACCTTGGCTGCTCTGTCATATTCTTGCATCTTCTATGTCCATGAGCTTCCACCTGGGCTGTGCCCTGAGGCCGCTTTCACCAGTTGCCATTCTGGTCATGCTGGTTCTCAGAAACCGCTGTGTACCTCCAGCCAGCACTGTTGCTGTAGGTATGTCCCAGCCCCGGACAGACATCTTGTGTAGTTTACATTAGAAAGAGGAATCCTGCGCTTTGCTTTACCCAGGAGGCATTAATTCTGTCACAATTAATTCTGTAATAAGAAAGGTTCCCTGTGTGATTTGCATCATAGTCAAAGGGCTTCAGCTCACAACTCTGCTGGTGTTTTCACTGAAGCAGTGAATGGCATAGCTTGTTCTTGCTGTAAATCACACAAATCTATTCTATTAGAAGATACATGAGGAGCTGTCCGATTGTATACATTTATCCAGAAACCTGATGCCTCAATCTGATATTGGGATTTGCTAAGTAACCATTTTAGATATTTCTTACTTAGTGAAATGCCAAGGTGCTCTCAGTGAGAAATGCCAAACCTGCTTCTGGGCAATTCAGCCTGATGTATAGATTCTTCTTTTCTAACCCAAAGGAAGTAGCCCTAGGTTTTCAAAAGCAGTTTATAATTTGTGCACTTCTGCTTTTGGGTGAGTCTTCAGCATTACTTAAATTCAGGGGCCATTTAGAGTATTGTGCTGAATACTCAAAATCATTTAGTACATCTTGTGGGGGGGGAAAAAAAATCTTTATGTTTTGATTCTTAAATCCCAAGTGCAGAGAGAAGATTTACCAAGGTGTCAAGGATACATGGTGAAAAGAGAGCCAACTGACATTAGCTATGTATTTCCTGAAACACAACTGACTCTATTAAGAATTTTTCTATTGTCTCTTCCTTTGGGCTCCTTTACCTCAAACTTCTTTTCTCTTTCCTCTCCTTCACCCCATTGTCCTGTGTTTGCATCTTGAATTACAGTGTTACGCTTACTGTGTCTTTTCCTCGCTTTCAGTTCTGCTGCTGTTCCCTCTATTGTACTCTTGCATGTGCACAAAAACAAAGTGTATCTCTGCTGATAATTCTCTGCTCTGAACCTGAAATTCACACTTTGGAGTGATGATCACCCTTTCACTTCATTTTTTATTTTCTTGCATGTTTTAATCGTGTTCCTACCGCAGCCTCACTTAGTACATCATGTGAGTGATAGCCAGACTCTAATCAGCATGCTCTATGACAGATTAAATGGGGCTTTACTGCTGGTGATTCAAGCACTGAAAAATTAAGTCACTCTTTGTCTCTTCCATTTCTTCCTGCATTGTTTTACCAGCCCACTTCCAGCTGCTCCTCCCCATCCTCCCTTGCTAGCGAGGCCTGCTCACTGCCTGCAGGGCATCTTTCCGGCAGAGGACAGACCTCTGCCCGCACGTGCTGATCTGAGAGACTGTGGAGGTGTCGTTCCTGACCCTGCATCTTTCAGCCTCCTTAGAGTGTTGGTAGAGGGCTGCACCGCCAGCACCGCCTATGCACGGGCCTAAATCCAGGATGGAGACCCGCAGCAGAAGGATGTGCTGCAGGTTGATGATTAATGCTTTTGTAACTTGCATGAATTGCTACTTGTAGCTGAACCTGACCCATAACGTTACTGTTAAAGAGATTTTTGTCCCTTTTGTAGACTTCTGCAGGCTCACTTGAGCATGTGTATAGGGAAGATGCTAGCAGACCAACTTACAAGCTTCTGTTTAAAACCTCTGCTGTTTGAGTCTGATGACGTCCTGGTGCAGTGTGTGACGTCCCATTCGTCGATCCTTGCCCTGAGTTCCAGCATACCCAGGGGCCTCCTATGCAGAGACAAGCCTGCCAGAGAATACTGTGGGTTTCCTTGTCTTTATTATGCCAACAGATATGCACTGTGACTTCATGTATGCAAACTTTCCACTTCCACTCTCAGTCTGCGCTGAGTTTTACCATCGCACTCACCTGGAGTCCAGGTTGGCCTCTGTCTCTACCAGATTGCAATATACATTTTTCTCCTCCTTTCCAGCAACTAAGACGCTGCAGCCTCTCAACACACCTCTTCTGGCCCTATTCCAGAACAGGAACACTTTAACCTGTCACTGCACTTCTGAGTCTGCTCACTGAAACTGTTCTTGGAAGGGTATTTGGTGACTTTGTCCAAAGCAATATAAAGACTTTGGATTTTATTGCTGAAGAGGGAAGACAACCAACTTTTTCATTCTGGTGCTAGAACACTCTCCAGTGGTGCTTTCACAGTTGTGAAGCCTTTGCTTGAATAGTACACACAAGTATACGTGTGTATGTGTGCGTGTGCATGCATATGTATAAAAACGTTTGGGGAGTTTCTGCATTTCAAAAGATCTGAGCCCATGTTTGTCTTTATATTGTTGGCCTTAACCTAGCTCTTGGATACTGCGTCTATCTTGCTGCTGTTTTCTATATGAAGCTGGTTTGGAGGAAACAAAAGATTATCTGGTCTCCCTGTAAAAATCTTTGATGATGTTGATCTTCATACAGTATTGTTCAGGGGTGAGATTTTATTTTTCTAGTATTTTTCCTACTGTAAAAACTGCTGGAGTGTGTGGAACGGAAAAGTTCTTTACAAAATGGTCTGATCAAGGATTGAGCATTACTTAATAATACTAACAGTTAATGATCAGGTGGGATATAAATGAGCTCCATTTCCAGACCTTTTCCATTACCTACCTTCCCTTGAAAACACCCAGGTACTTTTTTCTTTGGATATGGGCTTGTTAGGCATGTTCTGAGACCTTGCAGAGACTCTGAATGATTTTGCTGTTCTGAACTGGGAAGAATTTGAATTCTAGAGTCTGATTCCAGTTCTGCAGTCTGGGTAGTTTGGCAGTTGTGACAAATGTTATGCACATATCTATTTGATGGGATAGAGAGAATTGGTAGAACAGGTTGCTGATTTCTGAAGGTCATCATATCTTTTTGCATAAAATCTTAAATTGGTCACTGTGGCAATGTGGAAAAAAACTCATTGCAGGCTTATGTAGGCCAGATTCACTGAATTTTAGGCTATCTGCTCAAGTGACAAATTTGGCCTGTGAATGTTTCATTCCCATTCCCTCTTCTTGGGTGATGGGAACATCTGTAAAACACTGATGAACTCACTGGGTTCCTTAAAACAGGGCAGCTGGAATCAAGGGCTTGTGTTGCCTGTTGGATGCTGCTATATTTTTTTTCTTCCAAGCATCATTCCTGGAAATAACTGTGGTCTTAACCTCTTTCACAGACATTTCTTACAAAGACTAAAAAGGGCCAATTTGGCCAATACTTTTTTGGGGTTGTTTTGGGTTTTTTGGGGGGGGCATTGTTTTTGTTTTTGTTTTTTTTAAATGTACATTGCATACAGAAATTATCATCACTGTGTCCTGTGGTGGGAGTAAGGGACAGAGTACTTTTGGATGGAGTGGGTATCTAGAGAGGGTGAGGAGGGCAATTTGAGTCATAAACCTTATTTCCTGTGAAAGAAATACTATGTCATGTGCGTATACTTGTTTGGGGAGCTCTAACACTGTACAGTTTAGTTAAATGCGCTCCAAGGGAGGAGAAGCTGTTCCTCAGAGGTTTTTATTTCATGCTTTGTGTTTAAAGAGGAATATTTTTCTTTAAAAAATAAAAACGGATAAGTTTTCACCTTAGTGTGATTCTATTTCTTGGGGAGCTGAGTATTTTTGGGGGAAAGGGAGGCAGTATTTGTGCTTGTGTGTGTCTGGTCAAATTAACATAGATCTCTTCACTCTTTCAAAGCTAGCAAGAACTAAAAGAAAGGACAAAGCGTTGTGAGCTTCCCCAAAGCAAGGAGAAGCTCATGACCATGAGTTGGAGATGGAAGAGGAAGGGGCAGTACATTGTTACGCTTTGAAGGCTTTGCATCGGTTAAAAGGGAAGTCATCTCCTGCCATTAACTGATGTTCTGAACTTCTGCCCGGATGCAGCTGCACCCCCGTAGGGACCTTGCTGTCTTGAACTGTAGGTTAGAGACTGTCATTTACATACCTGTTTCCAGAGAACCATGACCTCAGCTGATGACTGTAGGGTCACGTGGTAACACCGTCACGATTTCATTTTGTCTGGATTTTCAGTACTTTGGAAGGTGGCGGGGGGGGGAGTGTAAGGGAGGTGCTGAATGCAGGTGCTTTGGTCCTGATATAGTCATCTTCCCAGTGTGCATATGTCAGCAAGAAAGCCAAGAGGATTATTTAGATGGGTAAGGACTGTGCATGTGTAAGGGGTGTTCAGTGAAGCCCCAGAATTCGTTCCAACATACGCACAGTCACAAAGTTTCAGAGCAGTCGAGTTGTATGCACACCTTAGACTTTGCATTCATTTAGCAGTTAAGGGATTTTTTTCCTCTGTGAGATGGGGGCTGAGAGTTTTTCCAAGATTT